AAAGCGCAGCTCCAATGCGCCGGATAGAGCTTCAATGTCTAATCTCTGGTTTTCTGGAAGTGTCTACAGGATATCCGCTGCGTCTGCTCTCAGACAAGCGGCGAGATGACAGGCCTTAGCTCGGGAATCCCATCCATTCGCATCCACAACTATAGAAAATTGCGTCTTATACACTTGCCAGGATGTCTTCCATCATATGCGGATAGCTTCAGAGATGGACGAGCAGGCATCGGTAAGAATTTAAAATCATCATTCTTGCTCCTGCCGTCGCTAGGAATTTCTTTAAAGCATCCATTCCTTTGGCAACTGCAGAAACTCTCTCATCAATTTGTTGTTGGACAGCAGAAACCTTTTCTTCAGTTTCTAAAACTCTATTTTCAACCCTGTCCACTCTGTTTTCCATAGCCTCAAATTTGTTTTCTATTATGCAAGTAATTTCCCTTTTCATTTCTTCTTGACCTGCTTCAATCTTTTCTTGTGTAGTCTTCATTTTTACTTTAACAGCTTTCATTTCTTTTGTAACAGATTCTTCCATCTTTTCCTGACCAGATTTAACCTCTGCTTTCATTTCTTCCTGTCTCGCTTTCATTTCTCCCTTAAACGAGGCAAAGGTTGATATCAATTGCCTGAACTGTTCTTCCATCGCTCTTGTTATTGGCATTCAAATCCCACTTCTGACACCAAAAATTATTGCGTGCGTACGGGTTCGTTACGAAATGAATGCACAAGTCCGATGAAAAATGAACAAAAATTTATTATTATCACAACAAATATGCTTAAATTTCCTCAAATTATCATGCAGTATTACAATCTCACAGTAGTTATCTTTCAACTACTCAAACGTTCAATAGAACTTAACACAAAACAGCTGAAGAAAGCTAACATGCGAATTCGCTACAATCAACAAGAGCAGTTTTCTAAACAACAACAAACTAAGTAACTACTACGAACTGAGAGGTTTTCCTCCTTTTATAAGATTTTAAAATCGCGCGCGAGAATTTTCTAGTACTTTCTCGAAATCAAAAAGAGATATTTATTAAATGTTGAATGCACGCACTCTTGTATTTTCAATTTTCCAGCTTAGCTTTCTTTTAATATTCGTCACGCGCTGCACTGTGCAGGAAATAAAACCATTTAATTTGTAACTGAACTAACTTTAGCTTTATAAGTACCCTGTAACAATATTATACGATCGCGAATACAAGATCTCAGTGAAGATATTTTAATGCAAGTAATTGAAGACATAAAAATCAGTCCACTAAAAATAAGCATGCAACTGGAGGAGTCAACTGATGTTGATAATTGTAGACAACTTTTGGTATTTGTCAGGTATGTGAAGGAAAAAGAGGTGATAGAAGAATTTCTATTTTGTGAGCCACTGGAGGTGAATATGAGAGGAATTGATACTTTCAATCGCATCAAAGATTTTTTTACTAAATATCAATTACCAATGAATGTGATTGGCTCAATATGCACTGATGGAGCCCCAGCAATATTAGGCAAAAATTCAGTATTTTTTTCCACACATGAAAAGAGAATTACTGGAAGTTATAATAACGCATTGCATGTTGCATCGTCATGCACTTGCGTCGAAAGCATTGCCAGAAAGTTTAAAATAACATCTAACTACAGCAGTAAATGTAGTAAAATACATCCGAGGACGAGCGCTGAATCATCGCATTTTTCGTGCATTTTGCGAAGAAATCGGTGCTGATCATACCGTGCTCCTATAACACACCGAAATACGATGGTTATCTAAGGGTCGCATGCTTAACAGAGTTTTTGAATTGCATGAGGAAATTATTCAATTACTGACTAGTCAAAACTGTTATTTAGTAAAAGATTTTGAGAGTAATGATGCAATGCTGAGGCTGGCCTACTTAGCAGACATATTTAGCCATTTAAATGAATTGAATCTATCAGTGCAAGGAATTTGGTATAAATATAATAATATCTAGTGAAAAATTATCTTCATTTATCGCTAAAATTAGAAATTTGGATACGTCGAGTAGAAAAGGGGAATTTTGCAAACTTTCCCTTGCTTGATTCTGTTATTGCGAAAAATGAAAAGAATACAATTATACCCGAACCTTGTAATACATTTTGAGACGATTGAGCGAATCAATTCAATGGATACTTTTTCTACCAGAAATATTACCAAAAACTCAGAGATGGATTACTGGATTCATTTCTATTTGACTTAAATTTGATGGATGAGAGTGATCTGAAAAAAGATCAACTTATTGAAATGCAAGCAAGTGGACATGTTCAAATGGAATTCGAACAATTCTGGTGTTCACAGTTACAACGTTATCCAGAGTTGGCAAACAGAGCACTGCAGTTACTCTTACCCTTTGCTACCACCTACTTGTGCGAAATGGAATTTTTATCGCTTTTGCATATAAAATCTAAAGCGAGAAATCGCTTAAATGCAAGTGATGACTTATGCATACGTCTTTCAAAAAAGGAACCTTGCTTCGCCAGTATAATAATGAACAAACAACAGACTAGACATTAATAAAAATAATATTGTTTTGTATTTATATAAAATGTACGTTTTTCAATAAACAATAAGTTTCGCAAAAAATGTATTTTTCTAGACTAAAAAAATTAAAACACATTTTCAATGGGGTGCGGGAGATATATTTTCAGATTTAATGCGGTGCGACTCGCTAAAAAGGTTAAGAAACACTGGTCTAAAGCAAAGCTTCTTAAATTTTTTTCCAGTCGTGACCCTTTTTTATCACAGATTTTTTTTCACGACACCAAAATATTTAAGAAAATTTTGTGGGACCCCATAAGCATTGTGAAAATCCGACAAGTGCACGAGTGAAACTGTCAATTTTTTTCACTTGTACTGTAAGCTAGTGTTGCAGTTTTAGGTCATTAACTTTAATTTCTAATTTTAAGACATAGAACAATGTGAAATTTTTTATTAAGTACCAGATAAAATGACAGCGTCACGTGAAGCAAGTAAAATGAACATTTATACTATTAAAAAAAAAAAAAAAATTGCATCGAAACATTTTTGTTTTTCTCTTTGTCTGTATTGTCTTATTTTTATCTATTTTCAGAAACATTGTGTAAAAATATTGGGTAATTGTAAAATTACTATATTAAGCTAAAGAAATACCAAAACTACTAAAATTTTTTGCGACTCGCTGCTATAGATGGGGGTTGCGATCCAGAGTTTAAGAAAGTCTGGTCTATAATAACGTTACAATATATGACTTTGTTAGAACACTTGATAACTGAGGCCACAGCCAGTGTGGTTATGGCAGGTGTGGAAAATTTTGGAATTTACAGAAATATCAAGTAGCAACATTTTTGGAATTTAGGAGTGGAAAAGTTTTTTTTTTTAGAATTTAGGACTCACAGAGATTGCATAGCACAGCAAAATGTACCTGCTGAAGCTAGGACTCTAGTGCAGGGTTATATTCTTATAAGGAGTGTATGCCTGAATGCAGAGATGCATTTTGAGTCATCATCACTAGGTCACTAGCCTATACAGCATTGTGTAATACGTCATTCATGTAAATAAGGAATAAAACTGATTGCACTTTAGTTAAATAACCTAACTCGTTCCTTGTAAATATTATGCGAGAGTACTGCAATTGTTGAATAAGAATACACTTGCTTTCTGTTCATCTGAAATGGGATAGATCTGATAGTACTTATTCTGGCAGAAGCTTGAAGGAACGGATCATTCTGTATTTAATTAGATAATCAAAATACACAAGCCATGGACATAACATATTAAACCGTAATTCACTTTTCACATTGGACAGCCAATATTTATCCATTTTCATCCAAGTATGACATTTATTAAGTCATACTTTCTCGTACTTTTGAAAATAATTTATTGTTCTGTTGAAGACAAATCTGAAATTTTTTTTTTTCCAAAATGCAATTGATAACTTGTATTCTTTTTTACAAAATTTAAACCTGAGTCATGATCAAATTGGATGGGGGGTCACCAAATTCAAAAAAATTTATTTGACAATAAAAGATATATGGAATTTGAAGAGAATTTTAGATGTTTTTTAACATTTGTCAGGAATTTTAAATTAAACATTTCCATATTTTAATTTTGATTTTTATTGCTTTCCACTTGATTTGCGTGTTATACTTGATGATTTCCAAACAGCTCGAATTTAAAGCAATTGCATACACGCAGCGAAGATGTAGTTTTTTTTGGCTATCTTAGTAGTGTCTTGCATGCACATTGTAATTGCAATACGCATCATTTATAAACTATGTTTCTTATTTCTAATCAAATTTGTTGTCAAGTAAACACATAACATTTCCTAAGTATTGAAAAATTCAGTAGTGTCTTGAAGGATAATAAAAACATTTTTTTCTTTTAAGTTGCAATTTTGTTCATGATGGTTAAATGGGCAAAATAGATACCCAATGTTCACAAGAGAAATGGGATGGATGGACTAAAACAAATAAAGGAAAAAAAAAAAAAAAAACAGAGAATCCACTGGCTTTTTTTCTACTTATTAAAAAAAATTGAGTAAATATCAAGAAGAGTTTATTTTATACTATAACGCTGAGAGAAACTCATTTCTCGGAAACACGTCTTATAGCATCTCGCTTCTTGTCGTGATTCTACAAAAATTGGCCGAAACTCGTTTGTTAGCTCCTCTGCCTAAAACTCATGTTCTTATACACATTCAATAATTTGCATTCTGATGGAACCTGATAAAAGTAGAAGCGACAGTAAAGATAATAAGATACTGGGTTAATAAACACAAAACCCTACATTTTTAACAACTGTACTGTTGCTTAAATTAAAAATTATTCTCAAATTTTAATTTTTTCAAATTACCCATTAACGTAAAATTTATATGTGAAGAGGCATCCAAAATATAATTTTCAGGGTTCTGAAGGTGTAATTTAAAAAAACCATTATCTTTCTTTTTTTCAATTGCATAAATACAAATTTGTAAAATAAAGGCAGAAAAAGTAGAGATTGATGGAATAAATTATAAGTGTTGTTAAAAAGTAAATTATTTTTATTTAATATCAGTAACATAAAATGCATTTAGTACCAAATGTTTGGCAAATGCCTTATGCAACAGAAACTTGAGAACGCTGGGGACATCCGTTCATACCTCCACAAGGAGGTAAGACTCTTGATTCCAGATATTCAAAGTGTAGAGGTTTCTTGCAAAATTCACACTCCTGCTGTAAGGAAAATTTACATTTTTAATACATTCTAAATTAACTCTTCTTTTTTAGTGTTAAAAAGAGACTTCGATAAACAAAAGTAAAAATATGAACAAGTGGGCATAAATAAAAACACAGTTTAGCTCTTAAAAAAATTCTTACACTTCCAAATACAGTGGATCACCTTTTATATGTTCCTCGTTTAAATGTCTTCAACATTTATATTTAACTTTTTCTTGGTCCCGATTCTATCATATTTATTTTCATAATAAAATTTATCTTTCATACATCCCATAACTTCGGTTATACGCTGCTTTTGCTTGACTTACTGAATTGAGTTTACATTTCACAGTCTCATCGTTCAAGTATTTTCCCTAGGAATGCGTCAGGAGAAGCAAACAAAGGCATGAGACATTTAAACAGGTGTAGGAATTTAAAATCCATTCATGAACAGAGGAAGTACTTGGAAGTGAAAACAGATATGGTATCCTCCCCCTGAACAGAACACCGTGTTAAATAAATTAGGTAGAGTAGAATTAACTGATATAAAATGTCATGAAAGTGAAATGCAAAATGAAAGATAAAATTCAAATCTTAAGATAAAATTACACTTTTAAAAGAATTTGATGAGAACACTGGTTTGATGAAAGTTGAGTACACAAATAAATTGGCTTTCCTGTGACAACAATGAAAACGAATGTTTATGATAGAAAAAGTGTTGAAGAAAAAGCAGAAATTTGTGGACAGTCCGCTTAAAAGATATTATTTGTTCAAGATGAAAAGTATACTGAGGTCCAAGCCATTTTGTAAAAATTTTTCTTCCAGTGAATGGACTCGTGTTAGTCAAGAAGTCAGGTAAGTAACTAATTTAAGGTAAAAGAATTAGTATTTTGATTGAATATGAAGGAAACTTGCTTTTCAAATGGATGGCTGCATAAATTTAAACTGCGGCATGGAATTTAATATCATATAAATGGAGAAGCAAAAAAAGTTCCTGCAGAGTCGGTTGAAGAGAGGTTCAAAAATTTATTCATCAAAAGATGGATATGAATTAAAAGACATACTTAATGTTGATAAAACTGCTCTTTTACTTTAAACTTATGTCTGCAAAGTGACCAGTGTCCTGGAGCTACGCAAAGTACAGAATTTCTCACTGTTTTACTTTATGCAAATGGGTAAGGGAAAAAATAACTAATTTAGTTATGGGAATTCACAAACACAAAGGTGCTTCAAACATCAGATAACCCTTCAAAATAGAAGTATAGGAAATACACTGAAAAGATTAAACATTGAGGCAACGAATATGATTTCATTTGCCTGGATTAAAGTAAAACCACAGTCAAGTCAGAGCCTTGAAGTGAAATGATGATGAAACTATGACTATGGAGGAAAAATGTTGAAAATCAGAAATTTTAATCGAGGAATACATAAACTGTGATGCCAATGTAATGACGTCAGACTTATGCATGGATAACTGCTGAAAACATTTTACCACATGAACATTTTAATGTAGTGAAATGAACAAGAAAATAAAGAAATAATCCAATCTTCTTTCCAAAATGCTTTCAACTTCACTGAGATTCTCAGAATTTTCTTTACATGTAATAATATAAATGAGAAAAAATTTCCATAACTGAATTTGATTCATAGTGTGTTGCTTAAGATTCAGAATCGAAAGACCCATCAGACGATAATTCAAGATATTTTCCTTAAAAAAAAGTTAAAATTTGCTTTAAAATGGTTTTGGTGAAGAAAAAAAAAAATACTCATTCAAAATAGTAATTCCAATAAAGGTATGATTTTTTTATATGTAGTTTATATGTAGCTAAGTACAAAAATTTGCATTCTTATGATTTTAAAAATATTTATTATAAAAATTGTTTAAAATATTAACATCAATTAAAAATTGATTTAAATATTAATTTTATACTATTAGTATCAGAACTATGAAGATAATATATCAACAATTTAAGATGTGAAGCGTTTATACATCTTTTTCATTTATACGTCATTTGCAAATAGTTCCTTAAAATACGTATAAACGGTGCTCTGCTGTATCAGTTTCCTAAGTATTTGCAGTGAATGTACAATATTAATAAAAGAAGTGGTGAAAAATTTAGGATTCTTAAAACATATAATTTGAAGTGTTGCTCTTTCAAGATTCAATTCTTATGAAATTTTTTCCTAATTCTTGTTATATGTACAGCATGAGCACATTTAATGCTTGACTTTTCAAACAACAAACTGAAAGAATAAAATTTTGCAGTTAAATCCCTAATTTTAAGTTTCAACTTTTATACATCACCTGATAAAAATTTCAGCAGTCGTAAAATTATTTAATTCATTTCAAAATGAAAACCATACAGTAGAAAATATCAAAGAAAATAAGTAATCCATTTTAAAAGAAAGTTAAAAAGATGGGCCATAATCTTACTTTGCTGCAGAAATCATGCTGTAATGTCAATCCTACACTTTGCCAAACTTCAACAAGGCATTTCACAAACTCATCCATAAGCTCCTTTGTATGGAAAGGTGTTGGAGCTATTCTCAGCTTTTCTTCCCCGAAAGGAACTGTCGGATAATTAATTGCCTGCAGATAATGTCCATATCTTTCTATTAGTTCGTTGCTTACTTTAGTTGAAAACCACGGATTACCTACCTATAAAATACATGAGAAACTATAAAATTTACCTTACAGTAAACATTTATATTTTACATCAAAACTTTACAAACAGAAGACTACATTTCATAAGCAATTTTTACACGAAGGTAAGATAATCAAATAAAAATATGAATAATTATTCAATGAGCTGCGCAAAATTTGAATTAATGGTTTGAAATGTATAACAAACTTGAAACTTAACATATAATTATGCATGTTTACAAAGATCAGAACAACTCAAGAATCAATGTAGGCTTTCACCTTTTTCATCTTACAGTTTATGAAAGTATTATATGATATAACTTAATAAAGTACCTGTAATTTAGGCAACTGTCTTGTGCCTCAAAGTATAGCGCTGTAAAATTATATGCTAGTTGATGATTTGATTTATATATATATATATATATTATGGAAATGCATTTGAAGTCTCTTAAAGTCTATCTCCACAAAAGGAACATATCCCTGAAGGACTATCTCTACATGGCTGTGCCAGTCAATCTACACAGGGAAATATGTCTCTGTCATGTCACATACATGTCTACAGCACCCGTACTGAGAATAGTGGTCATTGCGCATGATGGGACACATTGTCGCTGAAGACGTATTTGGATAAAGAAATTACGTGTTGGAATAGCAATAACAGCTACTTAATCTGCGTTTAACTTACAGGATAATATATGCAGCTAATTTCTTAAAAGTTTTATTTGCAGTTGCTTTTATTTTAACAAATTTAATGATGACATAATCATGATTAACAAATTTAATTATTTATGATGAGATATTTATTTGAGATAATAATTTCCACATGATTTCTTTATAAATAGAATATTTTTTCACCTTGATACAAGTGATTTGCTATTGTGAGTTATAGATCGATGTATTTTCTTAATCTCATTTGGCAGCATCAACTAAATCTGGTACTGCCATTTAAGAGGATAACTATATTCTAATATTCTGAGAAATCTGACAAACAAGAAAAACATAATTTATCATCTCTTTGCATTTCACTATATTTCTGATGATCTATTGTTAATGATTTTTGAATGTCTGGGCTGAGGTCTTGCTTGCTCAATCACTTGGTGCACTTATCAAAGTGTTTAAATTTTCTGTGAACCAGCAGACTGTGAGCTCAGATCTATTTCATTTTCTGATTTCTTTCTACTGAAAATATTTTACTTTTTATTATTTATGTAATTCTGTAAACAGAATTTGATTAATATAAAAATTATTAAAATTTTTACATGTAACATGTAATAATTTTACATTATTTTATTATTATACATGAAGTTTTATAACAGTTAATTACATAATAATTTTACATAGATAAAAATTTAAATATAATTATTAGATTAAAGTAATAAAATAAAATTTGTTTTTCCTCTTTCATGTATTTATTATGAATTGAATTATCCACAATGGTAGGTTATATTTTATTTTATATAAGAAAGTAATCCATTTATTTTCTTCTTTCATGTAAATGAAATATATATATATAATATATTCAAAGCAGTATAGATACAAAATGCCCTGTATAGATGAAATGCTGTCAGGTGACATATCTGGGAGTGAGACTTTACTGCATCGCTGAGCAACTTGTCTCTACATGTAGACGGCCCTATAGGAAGCTGTCCCCCAGAAGACATCCATTGCAAACAAGCAGATTTCATATGTATTGGCATAACAATTAACTAAATTACTGAATTAAACTAATATTGAGCAAATTAAAAATGCATAGAAAATAACTTGTCAACTACTTTCCCCTCATTAATATAATTATTATTAATAATCATTCCCCCTTATACAAAATTCAAGGACATGATTTTTCAACTAATTCCACACAGTTTGCCAAACAACTTTTAGCAACAATTGGTAATACTATATCTCAACATGCTTTCTTAAAGGAGCTTCTGATGACACTAATGAGGATTAGTTGGGCTTGGTGGTAAAACAGTGAGCATTGTTCAATGTTATGCAGCAATGTTTCTCTTATGCATCAGACTGAACAATGAAAAACAATAAAAGTTTGCATTAAAAATGATAAAACTCTAGCAAAACTTTTTCAAACAGTATGCACAGCTTACAGAGGTCAAGCATCAACAAGTTTTAACGTCTTTCCTCAATGCACATGGTTTAATGATTAATGCAACAGTTTTCTTTCAAAGTGGCCCATTAGCAGGCAGACATTAAAAATCGCTGAACACTGCAAGTTCGGTCTGAGGTTCGAATCCTGCGAACAGGCTGGCTGCAGGGGGCATTTTCACTTTTCCCGTGTGTAACATGTATACGAGCCAGTTGCCCTTCGAAAGTTTAGGGCCCAACAGCGGCTGAGCAGTAAAGTCGCTGAACACTAGTAAGTTTGGTTCAAATCCCGCGAACGAGCTGGCTGCATGGACATATTCGTGGTTTTCTCCAGGTGTAATGTGTATACAAGCCAGTTTCCCTTAGAAAGTCCTCCCTCCCCTTTGGCAGATAGCACTTCAGGCTTTGACATAATAGAATAACCAAACCCTTGGAAGTACCCTTCCACGAAGGCATCTCTACCTCTAGGTGGATAGCCCTTGAGTGCTTTGCCATAATCAAGTAATCCTTTTCTCTTCAAAGTATTAAATGGATTCTACTATTGCAAATATTCTATAACTGAAAATCATTACCTGTCTCTGTGGTTTAGTTTATTTGATTATGGGACAGTACGTGAGGGGTATCTGCCTATAGAAGAGGATGGCTCGATGGAAGACTCTCTAATGGAACTAATGAACTTTACACTTGGGAAAAAGCCACGAAAATGACCATGCAGCCAGCTCATTCACCCGAACTTGAGCCCATGACGAACTACCAGTGCACAGTGGCTTTACCATTCAGCTGCTTGGTGGGCATACTTGTTTCTTTGGATGATAGCAGATGAGCATGAAGAAAGCTAATGAGCTAAAATATTTGTAGAAGATATGGGAAAAATTGTGCATGAATGATGGCATAACAAACAGAAGCTCAAATTGCATGTTAAGATTTCATTGAAATTGAAGATAACAATCCCAGTTTGGGCTTAAAAATCAAATCCTAATTGGTGAAAGCATTTTTCATAATTTAAAGATAAAACACAATTGTTATTTGCATGGATAGAAGAAAACTAGTCTCACTCATAATCACTTTTTGTTTAAGAAATTTTAAGTAAAAAACATGTTAGTGATTTTTGTTTACAAGGAGTAATTCACAGGAAACTTATATCTCAAACTAAAGCAGTAAGTTAATGTTCTGTTAATTAGAAATAAATACACTTCTGAAAATAATTTAGCCTTTAACATTAAAAAAATTCTCAGTTCAATAGGTTTTTGTGGCTTAATTATGCTCCTTTGGCATATGCAACTATCTTCAGTTCAGGAGTGCAACTATCATCATTTGTATAAAAAAGTATACGGTATTCAAAATAAAAGTATACCCAGATCAATTTTCTGCTGCTTTATTATTAGACCCAGAATAAAAGAAAAGTTACACCACTATTACTTGAATTTATTCTGCATTTGACACAGCATATTGTGATTTTCTTTGTGGCAGAATGGAACTGAGTCTCAAAAGAGATTAAAGAAATACTGTATTATAGACAAAAGAATTAAACAGACAGTTCAGGATTTCAGAAACAGAAAAAGCTTAGAAACATTAATCTTTGTTACAAAATTTTAAAAACTTAATTTAAATAGTAAGCTGTGTTAAAATTTTTTAGAACCTGAGTAATTATTTTCTGATATTATGTTATGAAATTTTAGGAAATGAATAATAAACTTCAGTATTATAAATATTACAGGGTTCATAGCCACATTTTAGTTAAAAAAATAAGCACCTATAAGCACTTTTCAAGCATATTTTAAGAAAAAAAATAAGCACCTGTCTAATTACATTACACACTACTGCATAACCTTAAAAGAAAAATTAGACTTGCAATTTAAAATATGAGCAATGCAATATTTATTAAGAGAATGAGCATTACCTCAACCATGGAAAACAATTAACATTTTTTTAAAATTTTAAATGACAGTTTAATTTACAAAATTAGTTTACAATGAGACGGGAAAAAAAAAAAAAACTATTTAGAACTAAATTATATTACAAGATTTAATGATGACATTTCAGTTCAAAATATAGAAAATAAATAATAAGCCACATTAATTGTATTTATTTGCTTGGCACCTAATAATAAATACAATTTATTTTTCCATTCATATTAATATTTAAATAATTTAACTTGAATCAAAATTCTGAACATTTTCTAAATTTTCATTGCATAACAGTTTTCCCTTAACATAGTATATTCCAAGCAAAGTATTCTCGGAAATTTCCGAATATTCCGTATAGTCGAGCGTAACTGGAAAAAAGAGGAGAGGGGGGAGATTGTCGAAGGAAAAAAAGAAACTCCAAAGAAAAAGGTGTTTTATTCAAGAATAGCAGCTTGCATCTTAAGGATCAAACTGTAGGGGAAAAAATACCAAAATTAAGTTATTGGTAAGGTCAGGGTTACACCACAGGTTAAGACTAAATTTTTAATAATGTGGAACTAATGGTTCAATATTTCATTTATGAATGAAATCAATGGACTAGTGCTCATAACCTCACTTTTGTACAAGAGAATAGAAGACAAGATGAAATTCTGATATTAAATCCAAAGAATATTATCTTACGTGCACAGGAATTATGTGACTGGGGCAATGGACAACTGGAATTCCAGCTTCTTGTAAGGCTTTACGAAGATATCTGACATTCTGTTGATGCTGTTCTCTTAGAAGTCTTCCCTCTTCACTTCTTAAAACCTAAGTATTGGAAAAAGTCTATATTAAAAACAGAAAAAGCATCTAAAATCCAGTTTACTATTATTTGATAATGTTCATAGTTGATATACACAGAAAAAATGAGGTAATGTAAATGGTACAGGGTTCGTACACATTTTTGCACAAGGAAATTAAGTACTTTTAAGGACCATTAATTAAAAAAATTTAGGACCTATGAGCAAATGGGAACTGAATAAATTCAATTGAAGATATTATCTATGCCTGAATTTCCCTTTTGCAATAGATCCTAAAACTAAAATAGATCCCTAAGTAGTACGCATTATTACTAAACATGAATTAATTAACATAATTGTTAATAAGTTTGAGAATAAAATAAACTTTGCAATTTATCAAGTAACATTAAATATTTTACACTTGTAATTGTTGGTCATATTTGAAAGTAGATAAGTGACATTTACGTTTTACTAAAAGTTAGCTTTATGTTGATTTTTTTTGTGTCTCATTTTGTCACATACTTGGTCAGTTTAGGGGTTTAGTAAATAAGCAGGTAGATTTTATGTCAAACTGCATAGGTTAAAATCAGAAATAATATCATAATCAGCATGATTCATAACAAAAGACTGAATGTTGTCACTGCTGCTACTTGTCTAGAGAGAGACCTGCTGATTAGAAGAAACCTGAAAGGCCTGATGTTGGCAAGGTTGGCAAGGTTGAAAGTTAGTCAGGTTCTGTTTGATGCATTTATTGTCACAGTAACGTATATTACGTCGTATATTAACTGGGTTGTAACCCAGTTAATATACTTTAAGGTTCCAATAAGCCATTAAAGCACCAGAGGTAATAATGTGTTTTGTATTATTTTAAGTAGATGCATAGAATATGCTTTAATTAAATTTTTATATTTTATCTTTTGACCACAGTGAGTATTAATGAAAGGCAATAACTCGCTTTAATATGTAGAGATAATTTTTAAGGGTATGCAACTAGTTATAAATAATTAAATTAGGTAGTTTGATAACCTTAGTCATTATGGATTTACATGACCACCTATTAAATTTTATTTTTTAACAATATTTGTTAAAAAAGCCCTATTAAAATCCAAAATCTAATAAAATTTCACAGTTTAAAAGTACTATGTAATTTATGATCACAGAAATTCTTAAATGATATTAAGCATAATTACGCACACTAAAAGCTACAGAAATATTTATGCTTTGTAACAATAACTCAGTCAACAAAATATTTATCCATGTCATTTTAATTTGAACCGTTCCCAGAACATTTTGGTTAGCTTATATCGATTTCCTTCTCTTTAAGCATCCTTTTCTTAACAATTTGAGATTTGTCTCAATACTAGCAAATCCAATTGCTCTCACGCTAGTTTCTGCGTCTTTATCTAATAACTATCAACCTCTCCACAATGTACCTATGAGGGTTTACTTGATCTAGTAAAAGTTAAATAGTCCAAAACTCCCTGACAGGCATGAAAGCATAATTATCAGTATGTCTGAAAGTAATACCAGAATATCAAAGGTTTAAATAAGCCTCTTATTTAAAAAAAGCTTAGAACATAAAGGCATGTTCTGATGCTAACAAAATCAATTACAGCTCATGGTGACGTAATTAAAAAAGAACAGTCAAATTCAAACTAATAATGTGGACTAGTGATGAAAGATTATACTATTTAATTTTAATTTAATCTGGCTCAATAACTCTATCATATGAGGATATAAATGGGCAATTATAGTAAAGGTTGAAATCATAAACAATTGGGGTAATTTACATAATAATAACTGCACATATCTTTGAAGAATAATTTCCTTTGTGTATTCAGTTTCTTTCTTCAACACATTTTCTTTTCATTTTAGAATTTTTGGATTTAATTAAGGATTTCTGTTATTCTAAAAAGCACTAAATGCAATTAGAATGTACAGAAAAAGTGGCTAATTTTATTTCTTTGGTAATAGGAACAATTCAGAAGCAATATGAAATATATATAGTAAAGTTCAGTTAGAGCTGATGTGGCAGAAGTTCTAGAATTTAGAGCAGAATTTAGAAAGGCACTAGGCAGTAGAATTTAGGATCCACAGAGATTGCATCAGGTGGGAAAATGCCTAGTGCCAGCTATGTGTATGATGCATTAAGAATTTTATTGTATTAGATGAATCTTTTAAATTGTAAGTTTTCAGTTTCTTTATTAATAAAAAAATCCCTTTCTATAATGCCTGCCCATGTGATAAGATCAGAAGCATTTTTGATATTTTCCATGCTTCTGTGTAGTGAAAAGTAGAGAAAATAAAGAGAAGATAAACATGTTAAGATTCTAGTATCAGAAGGAATACATTCAAATATGTTTTCATTGTTCTTCCAGACGTTCTCCAAAAATTAAGAAATTCATTGTAAACTTTCTGTAAAATACATCCATTACGTGTTGATACCATGGAGACATTTTTCATTTTGTCATATATTTCTCGAATCTTCTAGAATCGTGGGTCTAAATCTTGCCTTCAAATCCTTCTAAATTTTCCAAGCTGCAATGTCTAAAATCCTAAAGAAAATTATCCCTACCAATTCTGTAACAGCAAAAAGCCAGAAATATTTTCGGAAACAATAGGAGGAAAAGTATAAAATAATTTTATAGAGAAAACTGATGCACATTCTGAGAATTTTGAATATTTTGAGACAATTACATGGAAAAAACTCTTATTATGAAAACATTAAAAACAAGACATTTTAAATTAATTACATAGCTAATTTTGCTTTTGCTAAGAGCTCTTTCATAAATTGTGCTTTATAGCATTATAACTTGTTTATTTTTCAGATTAAAAATATTGTATAATAAGTTGTCAAAATGAAACTTTATAATATTACAGCGAAAAATAAAAATGTTTCATTTTAATGTTATTTTTTAAATATAATTTCAATATATTACCATTATTTTAATGAAATTTATTAATGTTACGATGTTTTATAAAAAAAAATCGTCGAAAAATTCTCAGATCTCGGAATTAAAAAGTTTCTATAGAGACTAATTTTAAAATCGCCAAAATGTTGAAAAGTCGCGAAATTTAGAACCGTTTAATAAAAGAATTCACATCCCCAAAAGCGAAAAGTTGTTTAAGAGCTCTTTACTAGAAAAAATGAATTTCGAAATGATTATGTTTAACTTCTTGCTTAGAAACTTGAGTATCCCATCATTTATACTAGAAATGGAAACAAATTATAACTCATGAACTCATTCAAAAGATAACCATATATACGGCAGTGAATCGCCAAAAATATTCCTCAAAATGCTAATTCACAGTCAAAATGAGAGTCGTAAAAACAGACAGAAATTTCAGATGATTAAAATTAAGGACCTTCTGCTGATTTTGGCCAAAATTAAAGACTTTTAAGGACCAAAAATCGATTCCAAAAAATCTAAGGATTTTTAAGGACTCTTAAGGACTGTACGAACCCTGTGGTAATTTAAGAAATTTAATTAGATGTCTACGCTGAATTCAGACATAGACAAGAAAGTATGATTACACATACTTACTAGGTTGATTTCTATTCTTTTAAGGCTAATCAATACAACCTTTACATTTATCTTTTCCTATCACTTTAATCAAAATAAACTTTAAAACAACGTGAACTATTCATGGAAAAGAAGATTATGCATCCCGTGTTTTGAAAACATTTAAAGAAACTGTTAATTTTTAAACAGTGGCTAAAATCGCTATGCAGAGATATGCAAAATGCTTACCTTAACTGATGCAAGAGCCCCTTTTAAGACAGTAATTGGCAAAGATGTTGTGAATATGAATCCTGCAGCATAACTACGGACTGTATCAATGATGGTTGCAGAACTGGCGATGTAACCACCAATATTTCCAAAAGCTTTTCCTGTAATCATATTTTGAAAGATTAAAACACTATCTTATGAACAGTTTTTAAAAATGTCACATAAATAACTAACATTAACCAAATGAAGAGAAGACACATGCATTAAAATATGGCTATGGTGTCTCATTTTCTGAAACATTTTAAAACTGCTTCAGAATGACTTACCTAATGTTCCTGAAATGATATCCATTTTATGTAACAAACCATCTCTTTCTCCAATCCCAGCCCCATGGTACCCATACAGGCCGACAGCATGAACTTCATCAACAAATGTAATTGCACCATATTTATGAGCAATAGTACATAATTCATCTAATGGGCAAACAGCACCTGGAGGAAAACAAATTTACTCTTCCTTTATTCTGTGACATACAATTGGTAATATTTTGTAATCAATGTAGTGTTTTACTGAGCATTTTGTCAGCATTAAGTTTAAATCCAAATAAAAGATATGGCATTTACATTTATTCTTAGTATTTAAGTATTAACTAATAAAAACACTATATTTTGGGTAAAATACCTCTTAACACTTACTACTTTCTTAATTTCATAATTATCATACTCGGTTAAAATCATCAGAAAAATTGGCAAATTTGTAGGGCCTTTACGGTTATCTACCAATTACCTTAATATTTTTACTTTTATTGCCACTTCTACTTTCACTGGCTTCCATGAGCTTCCAAATTAGTCAATGTATGTATAGTTCTTGAGCTTAAGAGGAAGATTTTGGCAGTGACCACTGACCATTGACCTACTATTTTCCCCAGCTTCTAAATTACTTGAATCAGCTTTGGCCTTGCTAGCCGAAATTGTTCGCTTCAGTAAAGGAGCAGAGCCAAGATTTATAGGCACACTTTGTTCTGCAAATAAAGTACTTAAATTACATTTTAAATTCAAACTCTGCCCTGTTCTGATGAGCAGCAGAGACTATTTCTGTCGTCATATAGGCTGTGTACCATTATTCTGACGAGATAGTAGAAAGATTTTAAATAAATGTTATGTGTTGGTGTTACTTTACTAAAAGATTAGGAGGTGGCATTAAGTTGCCTGACTGCTTTCAAGGGGCCAGTAACCAATATTTAAAGGAGCAAGTCTACGTACAAATTTGATAAACTCTTTTCATTTGAAGTTATTTATAATACTGCTTATGATAAATACTCAAATCTTTAATAAAAATAGAGAACTAAGGTTTTATGGCATGTATTTAATGAACAGCTCAGTTTTTAATATATTTCTCAAATTCCACATGCTTAGTAACAATGAAAAGGTACCTAATTATTTTGGTATTTGGAGAGTCTAAAACATTACCTTGAGCATCAGAGAAAAAAAAAAAAAATTTTTTTTTTTGATGGGAATATTATGGCATGAATTATTTTAAATCACCTAATGAGAAGCATAAGGATGAACATTTCATGCTGTGCTATAAAACTGAGTACTGGAAATTCTTTAACTATTCTTCCTAGCATTAACCATTTCTATTCCCCTTCAGGAATGCTATGCAACATATTTAATTAAAAATTAATTGAAATTACCTAAAATAATTGGCTTTGGTTTTTAGAATACTGCAGAGGGGTATCAGATATTGATCTGTGTAGGTCTTCTTTCATGGGCAGATCCTAAAATACTTTAAAGAAAATTAGACATTTAAGACTCTTTGTTGACGTCTGTTGATGTGTGCTACACTGCTCCAGCCAGAAGTATCATGATAGCAATTGTGAATGATGTGATTATTATAGTAATGTGAACTTTAATAACAAGATTTTCAACAAGATGGTGAAAAGTTTTTAGTTAAAATTTTGGTATATTTATGAGATCTTTCTTTGCAGTCTGGCTCAGGAGTCTCAAGTTACTTAATTTTAGAATTCGGTAGTTAAATTTACTATGAAAGACTTTCTAGTACTTTGTATTCTACATTCATAAAATACAGACTACTAGTAGGTCTTCTATATACTTTTTGTAGTAATAGGATGGGGAAAGTGGGCTAAGACAAAGCTACCTTACGAGAATCTTTACCATTGATCTTTTATAGTGTTCTGAGACCCTTATATTTACTCTTAATAAAAATGAAATTGATATAGGAGCCCCTATACTCGCAAGGCCTTCAGACAGCGACCATAGTGTCCATTTGAAGACAGCACTGATGTAGTGATGTTCTCAACTCAAACCAGAGGTAGGAAGGAGAAACTAAATGAATGTTTAATAAATACTTAATTTAATCCATTATGAATATACCCAGCTTTATATTCTAGATGATGAAAAATGCAATTTTTGCAAACCGTTTGATCTTATCAGAAAATACATATTAAACATGAAAAGAAGCCCTTATTTTGTTCTTTCAAAATTTTTTATTACACAGCAGTTGGCTTTATCCATAGAATATGGAGGCGAATTCTGTATATTCTCGAGAAAGGAGTAAATCTCTAAAAAATAAATTTTGTCTTCTAGTAAAAGCATCAACCTTTATTCATTTTAAATTTCTACTCAAATGATTTTTATTAATAAAATTACTGCAGTGCATATTTTGTGCTGTGAAACAAAATGAGGAGTGATATTTTTACTACTGGCATTGAATCATTGGAAAGCAACTTCTATCATAAGGATATTTATTAGTAGTTTTGAAATTCTTTGCTTTTTAAAAATACATAGATTTGTTTTATGTTTAACCCTCACTGCATTAAATAAGATGTAAAAAAAAAATTCATTATTGATTCATAGTTTGAGAAATCGCAACACTTTATTTAGATAATATTCTGCACATAGCTATGCAGTTAAACTTTATCCATTCTTAAATCTGCGCAAATCAATTTATATAACAGACAATAATACTGTAAAAGTCATTTTCTTTTATAAAAAGATACATTTTTGCGTACCTGTAAGAATTAATGAATTATAAATGATTAAAGTGAAATAAAAGTTATAAAATTTTTTGCTTCTTGAAAAAGAACCTGTGTTAGATTCTCTGGAAGTGCAGAGAAATTTTGTGTAAAATTAATGTCAATCTAAGATTTATATTCAAACTCATTTTAATAAGTATTGTTAGGTTTCAAAAGAATTTTTAAAATGCCTTTTTTTGCTGAATCTGACATGAAGAATGCAATCTACAATTTCTTTCATATGCAGTTAGACTTTATGTCGCTTAAAAAAATTAACTTAATGCTTTTTATACTTTATTTGCCATAATTTAGATTTATTTCCATTAATTTAAATTTATTCCATTTAAAAGGCCACCTAAAACTATAAGCTCTAAAATTATAAAATTAATTTGAATTTCATTATTTGAGGAAGTTCAAACCAAAATTTAGAATTAATAATTAGTTGATTTAAATGAGAAAATTAAGAGGCTGAGGAATAAACAAAACACTCATATAACACAATGTAAATTGAAAAAGTAGTCACATAATTCATGAATACTGATAATATTCACTTATTCATGAATAATACATGATTAATACTAACTTTCCAATAATTTAAAAATTTAGGCTGTAACTAAATTAAAAATGTAAAATATTTGGATAAACAAAAATATATATTTTAAAAGTAAATAAAACAAAAAATTATATTTTAAAAGTTTACTGGAAAATACGAGAAAGAATTGAACAGTAACACATACTAATATGTTTTCGCTAGAATTTTAGTAACTAAATAAAACAAACCGCATACTTAGTTACCTTGCACCTCTTAATGTTTCCCAGTATGAAGCTGAGATTTTTTCAAACATGTCTGTATCATTGCATCAACTTTAATATACTTTGTTCATAAAATGCTGTTTTTCGGGCTTATAGGCAATAGTGAATGAGTGTTTGGAATTCTTTAGCGGAATCGAAGCATTAACTCTTCAAGAATCTTTTCAGAGCACCTAACAGATGAAAGTATGTACGTTTATTATTTTCAGTCAGAATTTTACTCTTAACCAACATTATGAACTATAGGTGTCTGTCTTTAGTTACGGATGAGACGTTTTTGCATCGTAATTTATGCTTCTTTTACAGGTTCGTAGTGTGTAATGCGATAATTGGAATAATAGCTTGGAAACTTGCATCTTAATCTTGGCCAATCTGAGGAAAAAATAATCCAACATTATTTTTCAATTTATAGCAATTAGAATTAGTAATCTGCTGTTTTATATACTGCCTTGAAGATATTTGAATACTAATTTTACCAATAATATCTTGAAACTTTTCAATTAAATTTAATAGTATTTTATTTTTGTTCCCTCAAATGCTCCATAAGTCTTCTATATGCCGCAAACAGCATATAGAAGACCTACTGGACCTACTGTTTGTTGATTATAAGTGTACAAATTGTACCAAATATTCCCAAACCTGATGTTTGCTAATAATATATCAAAATTTGCGTAATAGTACATTTATGGATGCTCTTCCTCCAAATGTCAAATACGAAAACATGTACTGAATATTTTCAAGTTTTACTAATGATAATAAACAGGGATTGCAATAGTATTAAGAAACATGTACTAACTCATTAAGAAACATGTACTAACTCACCTGTCATAGAATGCACAGTTTCAAAAGCTACGATTTTCGGCAGACTGAGATCTACTGTACTTAATTTCTTCTCCAAATCCTTAGGATCATTATGCTTGAAAATATGCTTTGGTACGCCACTGTCTCGTATACCTTGAATCATTGAAGCGTGGTTACCGGCATCAGAAAATATATGGCAACCTATAATAAGAAATATACCAAATACATTAAATGAACATTCCTAATAATAATAATGAATGTATTAGTAAAGAAATAAGTTTTTAAGACTAGTAAACAGACTGATAATGAAATTTTACTAGACAAGTAAGGAGATTTTGAAGGATAGTAATGAAAATGACTTTTTGATAAATTAACAACATTCCATATGAACAAATAATATATCAATTCCAGAAGCGTGTAGGGTTTATTATTACCCCTGTCTCAGATATGCGAAAACTTTCAGTCAAATGGGTGCCAAAATCAAAATGTTTGAACAATGATCTGAGGAAGGAAAGAGCTAGGACATCCAAAGCGGGTTTGATCGATTTTGAAGGTACACAAGACCTTTTGCTAGGTTAGTGATTGAGAATGGATTCTAGCTTCACATTTATCAAGCAGTCACAACGGGTCTACATGGCGGAAGAACTTCCGCATCCCGAAACGGACGGAAAAGAGCATGGCATCCATTTTCTAGGACAACAATGACATTCTGTTGATGGACCACATACCTCAGGGACCTAGCATAAATGGACAATATTATGTTAAGCTTCTTGACCAGCTGAAGAAAGCAACTAAGAAACGCAGAGGAAAGTTGACTAAAAGTATCCTTTTGATGCATGAAAATGCACCTACACACACATTGGCTGTGGCAGCCAAATTGAAGACCCAGGGCTTCCAGTTGGTTAATGAACCTTCCTACTTGCAAGACCTAGCCCCTTCAAATTATCAACTGTTTTGATCGAAAACTGAAGAAACACGTGAAGGGCTATCGTTTTGAGAACAATGATGATGGTAAAGAGACTGCTGACAGCCGGCTTCGGAAGCTGTGAAAGGACAAGAAAAATTGCAACAATGATGTAACAAATGCATAAATCTCAGGGGAGAATATATTGAACAATCCGTAATTTCAAAACACCCTGGCTCCTTTCTTTCTACACAAAGCCAGAAACTCATCAGCCGCCCTAATAGGTTATTGATAAAACATAAATCTAGAAAATAAAAACAAAAAACTTAATGATGTATCAGTGATTTTTAATGATATGTTCCTTAGTTATTTATGACTTGTTAATTTCGAAGGAATTTAGAGCTATACAGTTTCTGCCTATTTCGGTTTTAGATGTATACAATCGGTCATGTTTATAAAAAGTTAAAGCGTATCGCAAAATTTCCTTAGGGTAATTGCTTCTTACTGTAGCAGTGCCAAATTAAATATATTAAGTTTGATGGACTCCTCTAATTAAATCTAACGCTAAGTTCTTCTCGCAACTTATTGCCTCAGACAGCTGAACAAAATATTGACTGAAAATTCTGATTACAAAACTATAAAATACCATAAAAGTATTTTAAACTTAAAACACTAAAACTTTATAACTTCAACTAAGGTTTACTACTTATGGGGGAAAAAAAAATGTTTATAAATAAAGAACACAAAAGAATAGCTCTCGCTGAGTATTTACAATAACACCATAAAACTTAATTACGGACTGCACAGAAACCGCACATTTTATCTCTGTTCAAAGCAAATAGATTTCAACAGTTCCTGGAGGGTAAACTTCCTCCGGATGAATAAAGCAACTCAATTCATTATATTCAGGTAAACATTGGTATGTGTCTGTTGAAAATCTTGTAATTCTACTTGTCATTCTAATCAAGTATATCATACTTTTGGTTCTCCTTAAGTGCTAAAGCATTTAACCCTCCATTTAGGCATTTCTGAAGTATATGAGTGACATAAAAGTTGGAAAGATAAGGCAAAAGACAGAAGGCTAACTGATAGAAAACCAATAAAAATCATACAAATCCGTCTCTTATTCATTAATACTCAATAATATGATAGCAACTGATATTATGACAGACTTTATATTAAAAACAATTTATTTACTCTCACTTTTAAAATCATTGCAATTAATACTAGTCACAATTTGTATTTATGAGTGATTCTAATTATGGATCTTAAAAAATTCCTATTTCGTTTCTTCACGTGGTATTGAATACGTGAACTTGAATAGATTCAAGTTCTCAACTTTTATTGTTTTCAAATTTCCACTTCAATTACTCAGTTTTTTAAATGTATCATTAACTGCTTACTTTGCTTGAAAAGGCTTAAGTGTGCCAGTTGCATCAGGGATCTGGGAGTCTGGTCGGCACTATTGTTTAATTTTCAGTTGTCATCATACCTCTGCTGCAGGCAATATCTTAATTATCATCGCATGATGTAGAATTAACAGTGTAGGTACAGTTCATTTGCACAGCAAATTCGCTGTAAAATGAGTACATGTTAATACAAACAAATTGGAATCATTCAAATCTTTTGCCATTATATATTCTTTTATTTTCTGCTCGTTATGCCGAAATTTGATTTCACATGCATTATGTGAAACACAGTATATACATTAATTGTGAAAATATTTCAACAAGTATTTTATTCCATAATGTGAATTTTTTTTTTTTTTTAAATTTTTATTTTACATCATTTACTAACATATAAAACTAGGAAATAATTACTCAAATAATTTTTATGAAGGTGAAATATAACACAGATACATCCTACAGTATGAGTCAATGAAAATCCATTTAAAACATCAAACAGATATTAAAGTTTGAAGACATTTTATACAACCTGGTAAATGTCTTGCTAATGTATATAACGTAGAATCATTTGCAACGTAGCATGACGTAAACAACAAAGCAGCCTCCTTTTGATGCAGAGAAGCCAGTTCCTGTTCGAGTTCTTCGTGATAGGTACTATTGCCAGAAATATTTCTTGTTCCTCCAGCTCCTGCACCATGTTCTGAAACAGCTTTACTGTAAGAGGAAATGGAATTAGCACGTGAAGTTAACAATTTTCTTCTTAAATTGAAATAAAATATGAATAAAACAAAATAATACCTACTGTTTTTGTATTTATATTTGATATTTTTATAAGGTTTTGCATTCTACATGTAAAAGAATTCTGATATAAAGTACTTTTCCATTAATAAACTTTACAATGAAACGATAAAAGCAACAATGCAGTAAACATTGTTGGCGTGTGCTTATACACATGTAAAAAATAATTCGAAATATGAAAGTGTACTCCAATAACTTTAGTTTGCCCCAACACTTTACCTTTGTTGCGAAATCAGAAAATTAACTGCAGTGGTATTAACTAAGAGAAAACCTACCTGTACATAGAAAAATTGATTACCTTTTAGAAATTAATAAAAAAAATTTAAAAAATTAAAAGACTTAATATTCAGTTATATATTTGTCTATGTAAGTATTCAGTTCAAATCATCATACAGTACAAAGTCCCAGATCTGGACTCGTCAGGACTTCTGCGATTCTGAATTTGGGATTTTTTCGGATATTAGATCCTCAGTTTAAATCTAGTATGATGGCATGTAGAAATAATAAAATTAAAAATATGAAATAATGAAGCATTTATGATCTAAAAGGTATCAAAATTTACACACACACACACACAAAAAAAAAAAAAAAAAAAAAAAGCTTAATATTTATTTTTTTTACTTTATTAAACATTTCTTTCAAGTTTAAGTTGCTTCATTTTTTGTGCTAACACTTTCTCTTTAATTCTATAGATGGACTTAATTTCTTATTCAGTTACAAAGTTCCATTGTTGACGTCCTATAATTGGGTTTAATCCTAGTATACAGTGTTGGCTACTTTTGGCAACTTTATGATGAGCAGTAAATGCGACATATACGATGAGTAGTAAATGGGTCATTTTGATGTTGCCGATAATTTTCAAAATTAACAATTTATTTACTCTCAAAATTGCACCATGTCTATACTACGCTATTACTCTGTAATTGCCATGTCTAGAATTCCCACTAACTTGTCAATCGAAATTTTTTCGTTATTCTGTAACGGTATTTTCTGGAATTACAATTATACTACAGATTTCGCCATCTGGTAATTCATTGATGATTGAGGAGCATTATCAGCACAGTGAAAAACTTTTATACACTTTTCATTTATTACTGCTTCTCCACATTTCTTTACAAAATCCGCTAATTGGAAAATATCTGAAAACCTTCAGATTCACAGCTATCATCATAAAATTTAGTTATAGTTCACTATACAATTTGACTATATGTTATGAGATTGGCAACTAAAGACAAGTTGTTCCGCTGAATTTTATCTTGCTTCTATCGGGCCCCGAGACAATTAAGCCTGAATTGTATTACAGTACAAAGTCTTTAATCCGGACGTCCATAATCCGGACCTCAAAGCTACAAACTTTATGCGCATGGGTGTAAAGAGAAGAAATACTGTTTATAGAAGAGAAAATTAAAGAGAAAATATTAGCACAAAAAATGAAGCAACTTAAAAGAAATTTAAAGAAATGTTTATTACAGTAAACAAATAAATATTAAGCTTTTTTTTTTTTTTTTTTTTCTTTTTTTTTTTTTAATTTTGATATCCTTTAGATCATAATTGCTCTTTATTTCATAAATTACGGTTTGATATTTTTAATTGTATAATTTCTGCATGCCATCTTACCAGATTTAAATTGATGATCTATAATCCGGAATCGCCGAAGTCCGGACGAGTCCGGATTATGGACTTTGTACTGTAGTTTAGTTATTTATTATACTTATGCCTATTTCTTGATCATGCTTTACGCTTATCTGAGTTCTGAATAAATAAATTCTCACATATACTTATTGAGGGCCAGCGCCTGATACTGTGGCTCCTAAATTCTGCTGCCAGCTGTGGTCATATCAACTCTGGCATGGGTTTATGTGAATAACAAATCAGCTATTCTTAATTCAAATAGCACTAAATATAGTCTTTTGGCCTATGAGTATCATTAACAAAATCTACTTTTAGCATATGGGGGGGATAAAATGCACATGCATACAGCACACACACACACACACACACACAAAATTATAATAAAATGTTTTTTAAAAAGTTGATAGTGGCCTGTGAAGTCCGGATTTTAGACCATTTAGACCGGATATTGGACGTCCAGAACTCGGACTTTGTACTGTATGACATTTTCTAACCCTTTGCATTATTATTACAAATTAATTTTACCAAAAACGCAGTATCAAAATGCAGTTGTAACATAAACTGAAACAGAAACATATGACATGAAGTCAGCTAATCATCTCATTTTCTAGCTACGTACTAATTACATTTCACCTACAGTATGGTTTACCAAATTACCTTATAAAATAACCAGTATTAATATTCTTAATTACCATTTCTTCTTTTTCAATCTCATTATTAGAATAGCGGACTGCTGCAAAAATCAAATAAGTAGCAATAGCCAGAAAACGTTATTAAAAAATGTGCACTATTAACACTTCTTAAAACAAAAAATATATTAGTATATTTCCCGGTGTACAGTAGCTTATATTTTATATATGCATTTGAAATGGCAGACATATTGTAGAAAGAGTTTAAATTAGTAAATGTACACATACATTACTGCATCCCTTACAGACGGATGACCGCTCATTCCTAAATAATCGTTACTACACCAAACGATTATGTCTTTATCGCCATGAGTATATTCTTTGGCACAAGGAAAGTTATTAGCCAGCCGATTTACTTTCTTAAATACTCTATAAGAATGATCTCGTTTTTTCTTGGCTATCTGCTCTCGAAAGAAGTCTTCATATTGAAATTCTTCTGGGGAAAAAATAATAAAAAATAATTGTTATGAATTTTTTAAAGTTTTCATTTATAAAATAAACTTTATCCATTTTAAATAAAATATACTGAAATTATTTATACCTTGAATTATCAGTTAAAAATTAATTACAATGTTAAGGCAAGTTGATAATGAGTAAAACAGTAATCAATTTGATTTTTCATTTTCAGTATTTCTATCTAAATCCTGATCTATATAATTGATTCACATGAATGGAAAGATAATTGCATAATATTAGTCGAATTCATAAAGAAATGCAAACGTAGTCCCTTCATGTTCATTAAAATCTGTTATGGCAGATGATGTACATAATCTGCACCTTAATTTAAATATTACTGTAAAAATATTCTTCTGATATTTTTTTTCTTATTTTCATTAACATTAGTTTTAATCTCTAAGTTTTAAAATGACTTAACTTTAACTTAAGAGCTAAAGCTGAAAAATCTAGGAAAAGACGGTAACTAACGTATTTTTAATACACCAAACGATTATATAAATATAAAGCTGATAATAAAGTACATAATATAAAGCTAAATAAATAGAAGCAGATAAGGCAAGAGTCATAAATAATTAGTTATAGCTGTATTGCTTTTCAACAGCAAATTTTACTACCCCCCAAAAAAAAAAAAAAAAAAAAAAAAAAAAAAAAAAGATTCCCCCCCTTCTCAAAAAATAGTTTTGTCATTTGTTTCTATTTGCCTGTGAATGAAATATGAAATTTCTATTACGCAAAAGCCTATATCATACACTATTAATAATGTGTGTGTGTGTGATTATGGCAAAGCCTTGAGGGCTATCTGCCTTCGTGGAGGACTTTCTAAGGGGAACTGACTCGTATACATGTTACACATGGGGAAAACCACAAAAACACCCATGCAGCCAGCCCGTTCACGGAATTCGAACCTCGGACTGAACTAAAAGTGTTCAGTGACTTTACCGCTTGGCCGCTGGTGGGCCACTATTAATAACTTAAGAGTATGGAACAGTAGGCATAAATGGGTTAAGACATACTATAACGCAGTGGCTGCCAAACTTATGAAGCTTCTGAGCTACTGTACTATTTTTAAATTCTACTGTGAGCTTCAAACCAAAAGAACTACCAACTTTAAAAAAAAAAAAAAAAAGTTACATTTGTTTATTACCTATAAACTTACATTTCTAATAAATATGAATTCAATTTTAATTAAATTGTATATAACAAAAAGAAATTGAATTTGAGTTGTACATAAGAGAGAAACTGAAGTGTAATTAATAATAAAGAACAAATGCAATAACAGATATTTTATCAGAACTATTTTAACTTAAATTAGTTTATTGTTGTATTTTAACTTAAATTAATTAACGATTTTAAAATAGTTTATTGTTGAGAATTAAGCTTAGATTTTAGCTGCCTTACTTTTTCTTTTTTTAGAGCAGAATTTAGTGGGAAATCCTGTTTAATTCTTGCCTGAATGATTTTGAAGTGATGTTCGACGTTCCTATTCTTCCTAACTGAAACACTTGCATAGCACAGTAAACACACACATATATTCTTTACCTGGGTAAAGAAGTAATCAGTTTTTCATTCCGAATGAAAGTGATATGATTTTGCTTGCACAGGGCATCATTAGAACAGATCTGGTTTAGTACCAATATGTAAATCAAACTATCCAAATTAGCAAATGTCTCATATACACACGACAAGCATAACGTGAACAACCACAAGCATATACAATCAACAATGTGATGAGGCTGACAATGGCAGTAGCGCGGAAGAAACAAGCAGCTGATGTCATGGAGGAAACAAGGTTAACCAACCAGAGCGAACACAATCTATCGAAAATGTCCACTCTCCCTAGATACCGGTAGCTGGCGATCACTGCTACAATGTATAAAGATATTTTATGTAGTTTGAATGTTACCACTTTAAAACGTTTATTTTATTCAATAATATATAGAAGTATAAAAAATAAAATTAAATAATATTAGAGATAGTTTACCATTTTACAATTAAATATATCTTATTTTTCCGTACACGATGACTGAAGAAATAATAAAACAACATAACAACATGTGTCAGCATTTTTTTTTCCCTAGATTTATTATGTAATAACTATTTAAAGAATTAAGAAAAAATAACTGCCTCAACTGACTGTTGGTGAGCTGCTCATTAACTTAGTCAGCTGAAGTATGATATCGAAAATCTAGAAATCATCAAGCCAAAAATCAAAATAAATAAATTTATATCAATATCTGTAGTTTACTGCATAGATACTAATAGGTATATAACAACATACATTTACATTTAAAGTGTACATAATTCATTTACGTCTATGCTTACTACATTCATCAAATAGTACAGTACAAAGTCCGAAATCCAGACTCGGCGGGACTTCAGCGATTCGGGATATTAAATCAGTTTAAATCTAGTAAAATGGCATATAGAAATTTTTAAATAAAAATACGAAATCGTGATTTATGAATAAATGAAGTATTTATGTACTAAAAAGTATCAAAATTTACAAAAAAAAAAAAAAAAAAAAGGGGGGGCGGCTTAATATTTATTTGTTTACCTTATTAAACATTTCTTTCAATGTAAGTTGTTTAAGTTGCTTCGTTTTTTGTGATAATACTTTCTTTTTAATTCTGTAGACAAACATAATCAGTTACACTGTTGAAGTATTATAACTGCTGTTTCGAGAATTCTGACTAACTTGCAAATCGAAATATTCTCATTTTCAGTAACTTCTCTGTCACTTTCTTCACTAATGCTAGAGGCATTTTATGGATCTAGAACCATACTACAAATTTTGCCATTCATGTACTGATTGACAACTGAGAAGCATTGTCATGACAATGAAAAATGTCTTATTACCGCTTCTCTACATTTCTTTACAAAATCCGTTAATTGAAGAAATTTCACCTTTGTTTTGCGATATCCGAAAACCTTTAAAATTAGCGGCTATCATCATCAAATTTAACTATCCTTCACTATATATATTTGACTATGCATCATGAGCTTGGCAACTAACGACAAATTGTTCCGTTAAATTTTATCTTGCTCCTATTGCACAGAGACTATTAAGCCTGAATTGTATTAGTTTAGTTATTTATTTTACTTATGTCTATTTCTTGCACATGTTTAAGGCTTATCAGAATTCTGAATAAATAAATTCCCACATATACTTAAGCCTTATCGAGGGCCTGCACAAGTTGTCATATTTTGATAAACAAGTATAATAAAAGGAAAGGAAAGTATAATAAATAATGATTCGCCAGGTTGGCGTCAGATCAACGATTAATCTATGTGGAATGTTTCGGTTTGAGATATGTGCCAAGCAGATACGCAGCAACAGAGCCAACTTACTGATCATTTATGCTAAAATTATTGTTTCTTCAATAACAGTGTATTTTATTTAGTGTCGACGTGAATTTAATAATCGGGACTCTCCAGATGTCTTAATGTCTTATTATGCACAGAAGGTGAATCAAATGCGCATGCGTAAAGCCTATGAGAAAAAACGTTGGTGGTGGTTTTGAGTTCTGGATTTTAGATCATTCCGGATAATGGGCGTCCAGATTTAGGACTTTGTACTGTAATAACTTTAATTCACATCTCTTTAAAAATGCTTTATTAAGTGACAATTTATGTTTGGAATTAATTATATACAAAAATCTATTTTAATTTATATTTATACGTATTTTTTTAAATAAATTTTGTAACCTTCTCTTTGGAAAAATATTTTTATTACTGAATATCTTAGAATCATCGTTACATTTTCGAAGCACATTTAAAAATTTTGCTCTTTAAGATAAAATTAATGTTATGCTAATTTATTCAAAGCATCCAATTAACTTATGATAAGTAAAAATAATATTTGCAGTTTTTTAAAGCATTTTTAATAAAAATGTAAAATACTTCGAAATAAAGAATGCGTAGAGGAATATATTGTTACTTTGTTCAATATTTAAGATAACAATACATAATTACTAGCTTTTTCAGTTGATGTCAAGTCAATAACATCATCTTCCAGTTTTGTGTTAGCCGGTTTCATAACAGGCTTTACATGTCCAAGCGCAGGGCAATTCCTAACAGAAAGTAGCTCTAAAATAATAATATAATAAAAAAAATTCATAATGAACAACTAATTATTCAAAATAAAAGCAAATGATGTACAGTACTTATTTTTTCTATTCATGTAACTACTCATTAATATTAAGTAATATCTTTCATACTGCACAAAATGAAATTTTACAAATGAAGGAAAAAGCACTCGAATTTTAAGAATATATGCTTTGGATAATTTCAGAAAGCACTAATGGTAAACAACATAGCTTTTAAAACAATCATGCAACAATACTCAGCAAATAGTATGATGTACTAAAAAGCTTCAGCTTTAGTAACAGAAATTTATGGATGCATTTCATAATATCAGGTACCAAACTTTATTGAGATGGATGTTTTTAGACTAACCATGAGCACCACTTAATGCTAAATGTATGACATAATGGCTCAATTTAAAGAAACAAGCCACAATAAGTAGAAAAATTAATCTAATAATCTCTATGAAAATTTAAATATGAATATCAGGACATATTCTTGAATAAAAATAGAAAAAAAGTATATGAGAAATAATAAAAAAAAGGCACTTAATATTTAAGCACATAAAGCAGCCATTGTAAGAGTCATGCCTATCTCTCTCTATTTATCTGCGTGTCTAGGTAACAATGTAAGAATGTTGATGGCAAAAGTCGATCCACAACGAACAGCAAACTTGGCACCCGAGGCAGATTATACATTCATTTTTATTTCAATAGGCTGATATTGATATCGCTGTGACAGGAAGAAAGCAGTAAGGAGTGTCTTGGTGAGAACAGAGGTAGAAGCAAATTGAGCAGTTATTCAATATGGCAGATTATAAAGAGAGAAGTTTTGGTTCTCGAAATTTTGAGTCAAGTTTCGATTTAGCCAATTCATCACTGTTATGTAAAAGTCATATGATAGAATTTAAAAATGATGCAGTCCAGAAAAATGTTTTGCTATTTTTAGAACAGAGAGGGGAATTATTAAAATAAAGAATTAAGGGGCTACAGCTACTTTAAATTATAATTTTGACTTGCATAATTTTTTTTTTTTTATCTTGCATATACAGTCAAAAATCGTTAATCCGGACTCGTCGGGACTTTGGCGATTCCGGATTATAGATCATCAGTTTAAATCTCGTAAGATGGCATGCAGAAATTCTAAAATTAAAAATATGAAACCGTAATTTATGAAATAAAGAACAATTATAATCTAAAGGGTACCAAAATTTAAAAAAAAAAAAAAAAAAAAAAAAAGGCTTAATATTTATTTGTTTACTTTATTAAACATTTCTTTCAATGCAAGTTGTTTAAGTTGCTTCGTTTTATGTGATAATACTTTCTCTTTAATTCTATAAACAGACATAATTTCTTGTTCAGTTACAAAGTTCCCCTGATTAAGTCCCGTTAATTGCTGTGCCGAGAATACCGACTAACTTGTCAATCGAAATTTTTTCATTTTCACTAACCTCTCTGTCACATTCTTCATGTCTTTATCCATTTTTTTGCAGCAATTCCACTTTTTGTTTGTTGGACATGGAACCATACTTTCGTTTTGTAGATCCTTTAGAAGTTCCAGCATCGGAAATTCTATTTGATATAATCGAAAGTTCAAGTTTACTTTTATAAAATTGCTCTTACAGTCTGCAAAAAATAATAAGCGGGATCCAATTCGAAGATTAAGGAACAATGCAATCATTAACATTAACTGAAATAGATAATTAGATAATTTTAGCTTACACCATCCGTTATACATTAAACGCGCAGGCGAAAACGTATTCTGCACTTGTGCACACGCATATGCGCAGTAGTCAAGGTCTTACGCGCACGCGTAAAACGCCTGTGCGCATGTGCCAACGCGGCGCATGCGCAGAAAGTTTTTAGCTTTGAGGTCCGGATTATGGGTGTCCGAATTAACGACTTTTGACTGTATATAAAAAAGACATTTCTATACAACAAAGTTTTGTCTTGAAATGGCCCTTTTGTTGGTAAATCTAAAAGCTAAGCAAACTGGAAAGCATTAAAAAAAAAAAAGAAAAAAGAACAACTATTTCCTAGACCATGTTTTCAGAGTTTATTAACTATCATAAATAAAACTTACTAAAATTTGTCATTTTATTAATTTCTGAAAAATTAAGCCAGGATTTAATAAATTATCAATAAAAATTTCCCGCCCGCTATGCTACATGTTCAATGTAAATTGATAACATTATATCTTATCTATACTATATTTTAAACACTTTTTTTACCATCACTTTCGGATCAGCTAGTTAAATCTATATACGTTTATGAAATAAGGATGATGTTATAAGGTATTTTCTCTCTCTTCTGGATGCCTTTATGTTGTAACTGGAAGCACACTGGATACATATTCGGGAGGTACGGCATTTGAATCCTGGCAATGGCACTGCACATTTTTCACATCTTCAGCATCAAAAACCTAACGACTCTACAATGTAACAGTTATTTTTCAGTATTTTCATTTTAAACTTCAGATTTCTCCTATAAAGCTTGTAATAATGTTCAGATTTTTATGATGTCATAAGTGTTTATAATTTTTACGTTTATGTCGTCATGAGAATATTCTGCCTGTCAGTGCCTACAATGCTACATTCTTGCATGCACTGTAAGGATTATAAATATTACTAATATTAGATATCAAACATAAACAGTTTTAAAAATACATTTGCACACATTTTATAGCAGTAAACAATAAAATAAATTAATGTTTGTACATATTTCATGTATGAACTATTTATGCTGTCATATAATTTCCAGGCTATATTTTTTGTTTTAAATTTTACAATCAGTTCGAAACCTTAAAAAAATTAGCGTATACTTATTTGGAAAAATTATCTTCGAGTAAATGGAGGCGTGCAGTTCAACTTCACATTATGCAAGGATCAACTGTACGCAATAAAGTGCATAAATTCTCTGTTTAATAATGTCAGTTTGAATAGCAGAGAGAAAAACTCAGGAATGTACAGTGTTAAGAATGTACTTGATTTTCAGTTGTGAAATTAACTGCAATAGTTATTCAATGAATTGTTTAAAGTGCATGCAACAAGTGATAAGAAGAGAAGTTAGTTACATAACACTGCTCGATGTAAAACACGATCGTTCAAACTTAGAGGAAAGAGTTGTTTACAATGTAAAATCGCAATATTATCAAAACACTTCTCCATTTAACTGCATTTTCTTTAATTACAGAAATCTGTGAAGCTTTCAACGTGTTTTACAAACCTTTGGCATTTTACTGTAACTTCTTAATACCCATTTTAGAATTCAGTCCAGCTAACATGGGCAAATAGTTAAAATCCTTTGCTTCTAAAAGACTAAAAGATGATTTAAAGAAGATGACCAAAAGACTAAAAGAGAAAGGAATCCTTACCCGAGGTTTCAGAATGTTTAAATGTTGAGGTGAAACATCTCATGAACGGACATTGGTCTCCATACATTTTAAACAGAGACACTCCATAATTTTTTACAAATAGAGGACTTAATCCGGAAATGAATGGACACTTGAGAGCGGATAATTGGCCAAATTGTTTCACACTACCTGAAACATATGATCAGAAGGAAATAAGGAATATGTAATAAAATATACTAATATCTAAACTTCACCACAAAATTGAATAAAACTCTTATACTTTCAGGGAAAAAAAAAAAAAAAAAAATTGCATGCAGTTCTAGCAGTGAAGCTTTGGTTTAATATCAAACTATAAAATTTAGGGAAATGTTTAATACTTTTATGAAGACTTAAAATTATTCGGAATACAACATGTATTCAAGTGGAAGTAAAAGGCTGAAGAAGTACTAAAAATATGCTTTATATGGTTAGAGAGTATACAAAACACACACATGTTTGTATAAAATGCAGTCTTACAACTTGGGTTCTGTTTCTGCTCGAATTAATTTCAAAATTGTCTTTTGTCTATTTTCTTTATTCCACTATTCTTGATTAAAATGTTCAAATACCTTGAATTTTCAAGAAATATATGAATTTATAATCTTTCAGACCATCATTGAGTAAAATTTCAGGAAGCATTTTAATTTCTTCTGAAAATATATAATCAAACATCCATGATGCCATTCTTTTACCTTCTCTCTAACTTCTGTAACCTAAGATTTTACTTTACTTTTTGGCATCTAGTAGTAGTGTAGTGAATGCCTTTACGACATCTTCATAAATATTCCCCAAAGTTTACAAACACATACACCTTCTGAAAATCATTCAGCCAATAGTTCTTAAAACCTCTAAAAGCAGGAAAGAGAAAAGAAAAAGGGAGAAATCATAGGATATAAACTAAAATATTGACGATAATGAAGTAGCTAAACAAGATAAATATTACCTTCATGATAATACGTTCAAAACTGGAAATAATTTTATCAGTGTTACAATGAGATAAAAGTATCAAACATAGTCTTTTTTCTTTCAATGAAAAAAACTGTTACCCTTTATAATTTTATCAGAACAATATTCAATATTCATCTAAATGCATTCAAAATTTGGGATTTATATTAATTTTCTATAATGAAACCTTATAATTTAACATGAATATATACCCCAGGAATGCATAAAGAAGAAATGCGCAATCGTAGAAGTTAGCGAAAGAATAAACACGGAACCCTGGTAGTTTGTTGTTGTTTCAGTTTCTCGAGGTAAATGCCTTTTGTGCACAAACTTTTCTTTTATGTTACACAAAGAGGAACTTTGCTCTCTCTCACAAACACATACTCAAAGTAAAAAAAAAAAAAAAAAAAGTAAAAAAAAGCTTGGCTAATCTTTTATGGTAACTTGGCGATTTTTTGGCGACCAACCCTGCTACAGCAACCTGCTAGTTTTTTTTTTAACACCATTTTGTTTTCACGAAGAAAAGGCTTTTTTTTAAAAAAAAAAAAAAAAAAAATCAGCATTTTTTCCCAACAATCTGCTAGCTGAATTACGCTTATGCTAGAACTTTTATGGAACAAAAGTGCTTAATCATGACGAAGATTAGGTGCGAAATTGGGAGAAAGTGCAGAATCGCCCACTGCTTGCCACGTTTCTAAGAATTGCACATACACGGTATCATCCATGTACACGTCGACCTATATTCACTTAAAAAAATATTCCAGAATTGCACAAAAATGGCACTGTGCACACTTTTGACTTCATCCATGTACACTGCTGAAGTGCTAGCTAGTAACCTTTATCACCTTACAAAAATGTCGCCAAACTACCTGTTACCATATTCCAAAGATTAGCCAGAAGCTCTTTTTGGGCAGACAGACCTGAAATAACAGAACTATAATCAAACAAATTAACAACTGACACTTCATTATTTTTAATAATGAATGAAGTGGTACTTTGAGATGTGAAAATTAGCTACCAAAAATAATTTTAAATTCACGAATTTAATGCTTTTATTCATTTTCTTCAATTATTGTTCTTTCTTTGTTTCTGTAAAACTCGTACTTCTGTTATGCTCATAACAACTTAAAGGTAAAAGTATAGTTTAGGGTACCCCTTGGCGAAACTTGGCGGTACATGGATACCAATTTTGTGCAATTCTTTGACTCGTTATTTTGGCTTGCGAAGCGGCGATTTTTGTGCCAAAAATTGCCGCTACACAAAGCCAAAATAACAAGACAAACAATTGCACAAACTCGGTATCCATGTACACATCGACTTATTTCCACTTAAAAGGAAAAAAAAGAAAAAAAAAACAAATTGCTCAAAAATGGCATTGCGCACTCCTTTGACTTTATCCATGTACACGTCGACCTATTTTAACTTTAAAAAAAAAAAAATCCCCGAATGGCACAAAAATGGCATTGCGCACTCTTTTAACTTTATCCATGTACAGGTCGACCCATTTTCACTTAAAAAAAAAAAATCCCACAATTGCACAAACTTGCATTGCGCACTCCCTTCACCTTGTCCATGTACACATCGATATATTTTCACTTAAAAAGTTAAAGGAGCACCAAAGTCTACAATTATAGGCAAACATAAAATACATTTTAAACCAGACAATAAAATACATTTTAAACCAAAGAATAAAATAACATAAAAAAGGAAAAACATGTTATACATTTAAGCACTACCAAAAGCAATGATTCACTTACCATGATTTTCGAATTCGTTTCGTACACCCAGAGCCATGTAAAAATCAAAATATCAGTCATACTCAAATGACTTTTTTCAAACCAAGTACTTTTTCTGATCGAACGCTTCACATAGTGACCATCTGAACCCAAATCCATCATTCTATCCATCTAAACGGTTTTAACACACACTACAAAAATGCTTACAAAACATGCCATGATTCAAAATTTATCATGTCACAATAGGGTTTCCATAATATTCAACTACTCAGGCTACCATAAATCAAACAACTTCGCCATAATACAAGGGGTACCTTAAAGTCTACTCTACCCCAACTTAAATAGTGATATTACTTTTTTCAGATTTAAATTACATACATAAACATAATGCAAAATTCTGAGAAATTATTGCTTGCATTTTTTATTATATATAGTTGAGTAGAAAATAGCAATTATATGTAATACGTTATTACTATATAGGACTGCTATTTCCTACTCCATAACACAAAATATGATTATCACAAGCAAATACAGTAAGCAGTCCATAATTCGGACTCGTTGAGACTTTGGCGATTCCGGATTAAGGGTTTTTCCGGATTATAGATCATCAATTTAAATCAGGTAAGATGGCATGCAGAAATTATGCAATTAAAAATATGAAACCGTAATTTATGAAATAAAGAGCAGTTATGATCTGAAGGGTATCAAAATTTACAAAAAAACTTAATATTTATTTGTTTACTTTATTAAACATTTCTTTCAATGTAAGTTGCTTCGTTTTTTCTGCTAAACACACATGTGTAAACATTAAATGCACATGCATAAAGCATACAAAAAAGTTTGTGGCTTTGAGGTCCGGATCATAGATCATTCCGGATTAGACTTTGTACTGTAATAATTTTATATCCGTCTTCTATATTTTTAGTAGAATTTTGTGACTAAAGCTGTCATAAACCATCACCATAAATAAAATATCAGCCTTTGTTTTTTTTGCCTTACTTTTAATATTTACGTTTCGGCAAAGTAGAAATATATCTTAAACATTCTTCTAAGACAGCAGTTCTCAACCTTTTCACTAACACATACCACCTAAGCAAAAATTGAAAAACTTCAGTACCACCGCCAGATTTAACATTGATTGTTTTTCGAATTCTCAATACAGTACAAAGTCCGAAATCTGAACATCCATTATCTGGAATGATCTAAAATCCAGACCTCAAAACCACCACCAACTTTTTTTCTCTTAGGCTTTACACATGTGCATTTGATTCCCTCCCCCGTAAATAATAAAACATCTGGAGAGTCCCGATTCTTAATTTCACTTTGACACTACATAAAATACATTGCTATTGAAGAAACAATCATTTTAGCATAAATTTGTATGATCAGTAATTTGGTTCCATTGCTGCGTATCTGCTTGGCACACCTCTCAAACTGAAACATTCCACATACATCGCTGATCTAATGCCTACTAATTATTTCTTATATTTTCCTTTCATCACCACATGTTTATCAACACATGACAACTTGAGTAATGACTCATGTAGCGATGCCTAAACAATTTTTTTTTTTTATGTTAGTAATTGAATAACAAAGGAGTATGGTAACCTTTTATGTTGACATTAGAGTTGGCGATGGTAACAGATTTAAATTAAACGCACTAAAAAATGTTGACGAGGATAAATGTTTCTTTCTATATGATAAAACTAGATTTTGTTAATGATACGCATAGACCCAAAGATTACATTTAGGGCTATTTGAATTAAGAACTGATTCATTATTCACATAAACCCAGAACCAGCGCCAGGGCTCGTAAGGCGGCACCGAGTCGCAGAATTTAGGATCCACAGAGACTACATCAGGTGGTAAGATGTCTAGCCCCGTCTCTCGATAAGGCTTAAGTATATGTGGGAATATATTTATTCAGGACACTGGTAAGCCTTAAGCATGTGTCAGAAATAGACATAAGTATAATAAATAACTAAACTAATACAATTCCGGCTTAATTTTCTCAGTGCATGATAGAAGCAAGATAAAATTTAATAGAAAAACTTGTCGTCAGTCGCCAAGCTCATGATGCATAGCCAAATACGTATAGTGAAGGATAGCTAAATTTGGTGATAAAAGTTGCAAATTTTAAAAGTTTTTAGATATTGCAAAACAAAGGCGAAATTCACCAATTAACGGATTTTGTACAGAAATGTGGAGAAGCAGCAATAAATGAAGATGATATAAAAGAAGTTTTGGTAAAAGTATAATTTACAGATACCCCTTTGGCGAAAATTGGCGGTATATGGATACCGAGTTTCTGCAATTCTTTGACTTGTTATTTTGGCTTTGTCTAGTGGTGATTTTAGTTTCAAAAATTGCCACTACACAAAGACAAAATAAAAAGTCAAAGAATCGCACAAACTCAGTATCCATGTACACGTTGACATATTTTCACTTAAAAAAAAAAAAAAAAAAAAAAAAAAAAATACAGAATTGTAGAAACTTGGCATTGCGACTTTGACTTTATCCATTTGCATTTAAAAAAACATCAGAGAATTGCAAAAAACTTGCAATTGCGCACTCGCTTGATTTGGTGATATATGAAATAACTTCGTGATAATACTTGAAATCTTCAGTCTACTCTAACTGAATTTTTTCATTGTGATGACAATGCTTCTCAATCGTCAATCAATTAATCAATGGTGAAATCTATAGTATGGTTCTAGATCCAGAAAATACCGTTACCGATAGTGAAAAAATTTACAGAGAAGTTAACAAAAACGAAAAAATTTCGATTGACAAGTTAGTCGGAATTCTCGACACAGCAGTTACAGGACTTCAACAATGTAACTAAAAAAGAGATTATGTCTGTCTACAAAATTAAAGAGAAAGTATTAGGCAAAAAAAAAAAAAAAAAAAAAGAAGAAGCAACTTAAACAACTTAGGTTGAAAGAAGTGTTTAAAAAGGTAAACAAATAAATATTAAGCTTTTTTTTGTAAATTCTAATACTCTTTAGATCATAAATACTTCATTATTCCATAAATCACAATTTCATATTTTTATTTTTATAATTTCTACATGCCATTTTACTAGATTTAAAATGATGATCTTATATCTTATATATATATGGCTTCAAATTACTAGATTTAAAATGATGATCTTATATCCGGAAAATTTTCAAATCCGGAATTTCTGAAATCGGGATTTCGGACTTTGTACTGTAGAAAATGTTAACCTTTAACCGCTATGAACGGTCTGGGAGACCGCTGAGGTATTTCTAACTGTCGTTTTCCCACCCGTAAAAATGAAAAATGGTCCCTTTCTTTGTTCTACCTTCCCAAATCCGTCTTACAAGGTCACATATCCAGTTTCACAATTCTAGCTTTATTATGGTTTGAGTTATCATGTTTTTTACTTTTTAAGGTGTCTGGGAAAACCGTTCACAGCAGATGCGCACCAGTTTTATGATAGACATTATTTAATGGTTCCTGCTTTTTCGTAAAAGTAATAAATATGGCTTCAAATTTTACATGAAAACGTCCTGTATATCTAAGAAACTGAATATCTTGTCAATATTTTGACATAGAATACTCTGATTCTGAAGAATCACAGCGAAAGCAAAAGTTCCTGCCAATGAATATCATAATTTTTTAATGACACTGAACAAAATGATAATTTTTATGGAAAAAAGTACTTCAAATGGAGCAAAAAAGAACCAAGTCGAGCAATACGAACACCAAAACATAACATAATAGTTCAGCTCCTTGGTCTGAAACATTCTGCAAAAATAGGCTCTAGAGCAGAGCCTGAAGATACTTGAATTTATGTTCCAACATATTGTTCCAGTCAGATGCTGGTGCTACAAAACTGAAAAAAAAAAAAAAAAAAAAAAAAAAAAAATTTTTATCCTTTTATTAGCTAATCAATTTATTAAACTGCATCTGAAAGTTGGGATAACCTCCACTTTTTTGCCAAGGGGACTAAAGATAACAATTAGCAGAATACTTGGACGGAAGGAAATTAAGAGAATGGATTTATCAAATCAAGAAGAAAAATTAGAAGAAAGAAAAACATGTAGTCTGTGCCCACCTTGTAAGGAGATAAAAACAGCATACAAATGCTTGGAATGCAAGGAACCAATGTACCTTCTGTGCTCTAAAAAAAAAAAAAAGTGTGTTTTGACTGTATATCATCTTACGATTCATCCTTGTAAACAAAGATATACTAATTATTATTTATTAATAATTAAATCCACTGTTGTAGAATCATGGTTTAATTGGCAGTAATACTTAATAAAGTCACATATTTTCCTGAATGTTTAATAAAAATCTTTGTTCTTTAAAAACTTCCTTAAAACGAAGAAAATAGTCATATTTTTATATGAATTTAACTGCGTAAAATCAAATGATTTATGTTTAAAATATATTGATTTAAACGAATTAGACTTGGTTGGATCCTAATAGAGCCCACGTATATGGCATGGATCGACGAGTACATGCACAAAGTCAAGGGAGTTAGCAATGGCAAGTTTGTGCAATTCTGGGATGTTTTTTAACTTGAAAATAGGTCGATATGTACATGGATACTGAGTTTGTGCAATTTTTTGACTTGTTATTTTCAAGTTGGCAATTCTGAGAAACGCACGAAGCCGTGGGAGATTCTGCACTTTCCAGTTTGTCGCCAAGGGTGTGGGCTCTCCTAGGATTTTACCTTAGAATTCCATAAATATGCATAAAGTATCTATAACATTCCCTAAAAAGGCATAAAAGTATGTATTTTTATGCGTTTCTTTAAAGCGGTCTGAGAGACCGCTCACAGTAATTATGCCGGAAAAATTGTCACGGCAGTTAAAGGTTAAAAATTATATATTTTGCCGTTTGCACTACCTATTAGTTATTCTTTGTATTAAATACACAGTTAAAAATTTTAGATTAAAAATTGGTTTTCATTTTAATTACAAAAATTTAAGTTAAATATTTAAACTCTAAAATTCAGTGTGAAATTTGGGTCTGTTTATAAGAGAGATGAATTTCTTTACATCTGGCCTTATTCCACCTAGCTTTACCCATAAATTAGGATCCACTTTTAATTTTATTCTGTGTTTATTTTTCGAACATGACATGTAAAAAAAATCCTTGTTTACACACTTACGTTGTGCAAAATAGCAATAAAAATTTGACAGCTTCATTTAAGATGCCTTTAAGTTTTTTTTTCCCTTCAGCCTAAAGTTAACAAGTGTATTATTTTTTAAATCTTCAATTCGAGCTCAATCACAGGAAATTTCTATCTGCTACTGCTCTTTTTCATGAGATTTTTTAATATAATAGTTAAATATACTTTATTTCTTTGCATACAACCTATTTTCCCCTTCTGTACCACTAATGGTATGTGTACCACCGGTAGTTAATCCCTGTAAAATATGAAATTCTTCTTTCCCTGAAGAGATCAGTAACTCGTTCCGAAAATATTTCTCAAGTACTCTGCTTTCTATAGCTGCAGGTCAAAACGAAATTTACGATAGAAGAAAAGACACTGAGGAGGGAAGTAGGAAAATGCCGACAGGCCCAGAAAACGAGATCTGCCCTGTTAGGAGTTAAGGTAAACATTTTGTGGTAACTTGTCATTTTTATACAACCGCAGCACGATGACTTCTTTCATCACAAAAAATTTTAACTTGGAATCTGTACTTACTATAATATTTCTTGCTCTAAAAAGAACAAAAACACTGTCATAACATAAATGCGTTTTGATATTTTGTATATGCGTTTTGATATTTTGCATATTGTAATCATATGAATGATACTCCAGCTTTTCAGTGAAACGTATATTTCAGTTGAAATCTCAATAAGTACTATTTCGGATTACTATATTTGACATTGAGCATTTATTTACATGTTAAAAATCGTTGAGTAAAAACCCATTTAGATATCACGCTATCATTTGTATTACAACTATAAATAAAACACATACGAATAAAATACCTGGACGTCAAATAATATTTGGAAAAAATAAAAAATTTAAAGCGTTAAGTTCTCGAATTCATTCTAAGCACATAGAAACTTGTAGCATAATATATAAAAAATACTTCAACGAAAGAACATGAAGACAATCATGAGTATCAAAATTCACAGTGACTAATACATCTGTAAAAATAAACACAAACCTGAAACACTGTTCGTAAGAACACTCGTATTAACCATGATTACCGAAGAGTTATTTTAAAAGTAGTATAAACCTTTAGAAGAGCCAATTTATACAGTTATTTAACGAAAAAATCGGCCACTTCGAAGCGCCGTCTTCGGTGGAACTTCGGAAAGTGAATTATGTTCAGAAACCGGAACCCTGCGAACCAGTCCATTGCTTAATCAACTTACACGTTATACCACTTTAGTTCATTTCAGTTCAGTTCAGTTGTCCTTGTCGCCAACGGCGCACGCTCCGCTCTTGGGGAACGGATTGAGCCTCCAGACCAACGAGAATCGAGAAGGAAAGTTTGTTTTTTGAGTACTGGCAACGATGAGTGTATGCTTTAGAATAGTGACGCTTTTAGATATATAGAACAATGACGCTAAGTAGTTAGAAGTGTTTTTGATGTTGAAATGATTTAGATATTGTTCCTCTTTTGTATGAAATGTCAAATAAAGTAATTCGAGCAAAATAGTGTCAATTTTAGATGAGTTTTTGAAACCAAATCGGATAGTCTATCAAAGAGACGGACCAGAATCGAAGAACACGGATCATAAAGGTAAGCAACCTTTCTTCATTTGCTTATCCAGAATTTTGAATGATCTGTTTTTACTGAATATAAGTGATAGTCCTTGATCTGTGGCAGCATTTAGCGGGTCTACCGCTTTCATTGCCAAACATGAAACGTGCCCACAGGCGATGGTATCAATACGGCGAATCAAATCATAGACAAGTACTTGTGTACGTTAGTGGAGATTTGCGGCGCTCAGACCAAGGCCAACTTATTTTTAAGTCCGTGTGACTACTGTCAGTGTAAAAATATCCTTTTACGTTTTCGGTAGCCTACGTGATATTCCTACTGACATTATATAATCTCTTGAAAGAACAGGGATCAGAATTTAAGAAAACTACTATGAAGGTCATTCTTGCCGACGGTATACAAAGGGACGAAGGCGTCCACATGACCCAGATAGACATTCACACTGAAGGAAGATCATTCCGCATAACTGTATTTGCGCTTCCCTCAGGAAAGGTTAACAGGACACTTTTAGGATCGAATTTTCTTAGAAGCGCTGGAATTGTTTTAGATCTACAAAATCATTGGTGGTTTTATCACAATAATCCGCACCAAAAATTTAAGTTTATTGACGATGATTTTAAACCCAATGATCGGAACCGAATATACGCCGGAAGTTGACAGTGTACTGTTAAGAGAAGGTGAAGGACAATATCTATCGCCTCATCAAAGATCACAATTAAATTAATTGTTGAGTCAATATTCAACTATCTTCCAACCAGAGGGAGAAGCAACACCTTTCATTGAACATCGAATTAAAACTGGAAACCATCCCCCGGTAGCTGTACTATCATACAGAATAAACTCAGCCGAGAAAGAAATCAAGCAAGAAATTGACAAGCTCTTATCTAAAGGAATAGTTAAAGAATGCGAATCCCTTTATGCATCCCTAGTTGTTTTAGTGCGAAACCTAATGGAACAGAACGCCTGTGCAGAAATTACCCGAAATTGAACGCGATTACAGTTCCGGATTCCTACCCACTTCCCATAATGTTACATGAGGCAAAACCTACTCCTTTCATGTGGACCCTTAATTTTTCGTGCATGTTATCACCAAGTGCAAGTTCAAACTGATGACCAAGACAGGACAGCATTTGTGTGTCCCTTCGGAACATATTGTTTCTTACGAATGCCCTTTGGTGTTCGGAATACCCTAGCATCATTCCAGAGATTGACACACCGTTTTCGCAATGGACTTGAGGACATCCTAACCCTTACCTATCTGGACGACATAATAGTTTTCTCAGAATCATTCGAGAAACAACTTTCTGATCTCAAAGCTGTTTTCGAAAGGCTTTGCTCTTCATACTACACGCAAACAGAGAAAAGTACCACTTCGCTTCTTCTCGTGTGAAATATTTGAGATTTTGAATCACACACACACACAAATAAAAAAAAATAACTCCAATCTTCCTTCAAACGTGTTCTTGGTTTAGACCAGAGGTTGTCAAGCCTTAGAACTTCACGGACCACTATATATATAATTTTATATTTGGCGGACCACTAACATGAATTTTTAAAATTAAAAACTTAAATCAGACTTTAAAAACAACATATGAATACGCAAAAACAATATTCAACTTTCCAATATATTTAATTCTAATTTTCATTTGTTAATATAATTTTCGAAACATTTCAGCAACATGCCTTTATGAAAATTTAGGGTACGTCCCTGATTATGAGTAACAATTAAAACACTATTAACATAGACTAGAAGAGAAACACGCTGTGACAATCAAAATCGTAAAAACAACCTTGTATTTAGCGTAAGTATTACACTAAATAATTACACTAAATACAAGGTTGTTTTTACGATTTTGATTCACTATTAACATCTCACTGATGCCCATATTTCCTTCACAATGAAAAATACATGGAAAAGTACAAAAATCTTACCTTCTTGTACAGAAAGTTTCATTTTCTATATTACTGAAAACGAACTTCACGAAAAGCAAGAACAAACTGGCAAACACAAAGCAATATCAATAAATTGAATGTGTTATGCCGCCAAAGTAGAATTATTGTAAACCTAATAATCATCGCTTACTCAGCAATGGCGCCATCGATCAACAATTAGACAAAACAAAAACGGAAACTTTCAGTGTTGCAATTATAAACAAGAATGCAGATGGTTCTCATAAAAATCCATCAAGTTAACTATTGGCAGAGAGAACACTGTGTTATTAACGACTACAATAGCATATGTTTGTATATTCAAAAGGAAAGGGAATTCCAGTTCGCGTTATTTTTGATAACATCAGCATATCCATGGATGCCAACTCTTACTTTTAAATGTCGCTAGATACGCCTGCAAAAGTAGCTAAAAAAGAAAAAATTAGCTAAATTATAAAAAAGTATAATCCATATTCCATAATAAAGTCTGCTACTCGTCAGTTTTTAAACTGAATCTTCATCAAATACAAATAATATCCCAATTTTTCTGGGGACCATCCAAAAGCTTTCCCGAACCACCGGTTGGCGATTACTTGTTTAAATGATATATACAAGACTTCGATGAAATATCACCACCTCTTAGTGATTTGGCGAAGGAGAAAGTCCAATAAGATTTCAATTAGAAAAAAGCATTTGAAACTCTAAAAAATATTCTCTTAACACATCCTGTGTGGAAGCAAGCAAATGGAACTCAATAGTATTTTTTTCGAACAGATGCAAGCAATTATGCACTTGGAGCCATTTTACTTAGAGGAAAGGCCCTATGAAATATGCCAGCCGACTGCTTTCTCCCGCTGAGCAAAACTATTTGACGACTGAACGAGAAACCCTCGCTGTATTCGGGGCCCTGAAGAAATTACATGGTTACGTCGAAGGATCAGAATTAACTATAGCATCCGATCATCAACCTTTAAAAATGGCTTTTGAACCTCAAGTCTCCAACTGGAAGACTTGCTAGATGGGCGCTTGAAATTCAGTCTTTCAACCTGAAAGTACAATACATTCCTGGAAAGGCAAACGGTCATCGCTGACATACTGCGCCGTTCAAGCTACGAACAGGAAGTTTCATCTTGCGAGATTTCAAATATAGCTGTAGTGGACATGCCTACGAGAAGTCCAAAATACATGCGTGAATCCCAACTTAAAGGTGAAAGCTGAAAAAGATTATAGAAAGTTTCGAATCCACTCACAAAACTGAAGAATATGCCAACTGAACTGAACGGGTATTCTTAATGAATCAAGGTGTTCGCTACCGATATGTCCCTGACACTGATTCAGAAGAGATCCAATTAGTTCTTCCAACTGCGAGCGTGAATCCATCATGTGAAAGCAAAATGATGATCCAATGTTGGACTGGTATGAAAAAGTACATATCCGACTATGTGAAAAGCTATCCTGAATGCAACCGCTACAAGACTACCAACCAAAAGGCAGCTGTACTGCTAAGAACCTCTGTTTATTTTCAACGTTTTGAGATCATATCTATTGATTTGTTTGAACCACTACCAAAAACTGACATTGGAAATCAATGGATCTTCACTGACCGAAGACTGTGCTACGGGATGGTTTGAATTATTTCCTCTTGCTCAAGCTACAGCACGCGACTGCGCTAAAACCCTCATCGAAGAGGTATTCATGTGGCATGGTATACAACGAAGAATCATCAGCGATGACGCAACCCAGTTTATCAGTGCTAAAATGCAACAAGTTTGCTGCACATTAAATATCAATCAAAACTTGATACCAATTTACTTTCCTTGTAGGGTTTATATTTATTTTAACTAACATTTATTTTAAGTTTAAACTATCTTTCATGTCAAGCCTTACTTTCCCCTGGAACTGCCAATGCCAGAATATGTAAATTTGAGTAGAACGCGCAAGCAATTAAATTATCAGCGGAAGTAGTATGATTTAAATAGAAGGAAACGAGTTCGGTGAGAGAGTTATTCTTACTTAGCGAGCGCGGAGGTAGAAATCGAGAATTGAAGAACCCCGCGTTGCGGCCTATGTGCTTGGCGGGAAGTAGTTGCAATTGTTCCAGTGAGCTTCAAGTCTGCTGAATTAGCAGCGGTATTGTAAAACACGGTGAGTTAGTTATTTTAGAGAGCCTCGTAGTTAGAATATTGTCTTTACTTTCTTTTCAGGTTCTTATTTTTATTTGACTGCCTAGTGGGCACAGTCTGTAAGCGTCAAGAGGACGCCGTTGTAATTTATTACGTTGAATAAAAAGGGACTTAAACTCTTTATAAGACTCTGTTTATACAAGCTTTCACAGTCACCTCTTGGTTGCGTGCAAGTTAGAGGCGCGCAACGTTATATTGGCGATTGAACACTTATCGAACTGAAATGGCCGAAAACTGGATGGAAGTCGCTGGACAACACCAAGAAATGACAACTCAATTAGAAGGATTTGGATACCTGGTCCAGACTTTGAGAGCATCAATCAAGCCAAACGTCTATTTCGACGGAAAAAATTCGGTGTCCGTATTTTTAGAAGGTATAGAAAACCACTTTCAGCTCTATCCTGTGCCTGAAAGACAAAAAGTTGCTATTGCCACATCAGCACTAAGAGGACAGGCCGCGCTATGGTGGAAAAATATAGGCAAATTTCTTCTAGGTGAATTTGGAAGCCCGACGTATA